TAATATTAATATCTACTTTTTGGTATTTGTATGCATTGAAGTAATCTTATTGGACGGCTAGTTATTTATATGTTTTTGAATTGTGCTACGTTAATTTGTAAAAGTTATGAATGAAATGTCATTAGTTGTATTTTCGTAGTGTTGCTGTAAATATTAAAAAAATTAATTATGGTACGGAACCGAACGGAATCGAACCGAACCGAACTGAACCCGAACGGTTCCATAATTATATTTGGACCCGACTACCTCTGTTAGCAAATAAAAAGATGTCATTTCAAAAAAATGAAATGTCGGTTGTTGTGCACTACATTGACACCTTTCCATTTGTAGGTTGGATTACAAAGGGTGTGTTTGATCAACATTATTTTGGAAGAATATATCTTGAAATAGTAGATTGATGTAAAATGTGTGGTTGAAAATGAGTAAAAAAATGAGAATGAAAATTTTAATGTTGCTCAAATATGAGCAAATTCTTAAAAGTGATGTTGCTTGTAGTGTACTGTTTTGACATCTTCTCCATTTCTTCTCTTTTGTTTTCGTTATATATTTTTAATAAAAGATAATTTAACTACATATATCTATTTTACCTTCAACAATATTTTGCACTCTTTTTAATGTTGACCGAAATTGTCTACTTAGGATCAAAATAGTATAAAAAGTTACTTATTATTTACCAAAATACACATAGGTCGAAGACCCTTCCGAAATTTCCCATTCAAAACCACCCCAAACTTGCACTTTTGTGAAAATGAGTCGCCATGTTATTCAGCCAATGAAAAGGCTGGAAAAAGTCTTAAATAGGATGAACAAAGAAAAATTTTAGCACTCCCAAAGTATAGAACTAAAAATTAAAAGGAAAAATGCTCCATGTGCAAAAGCTCTAAGCTGAGTATGGCACATTTAGGTAAATAGTGACATGGAGTACTATGTTACATATTTCGAAAGTATTAAAAACTTTTGAGCTTAGTTGGATTTTAGCTTAGTGAAGGAGCTGAAATTTAGGCCCAATGTCAAATGGCCTGAGCTTGGTTCCACATGTTGGGCCTTGTTCACCATAGTAGCATCAAGTTTGAATGCAAACTCAATTTATTTCAAATAAGTCATCAACTTCGATTTTTGTTTTGACCTTCTGCCCACATCAGTTGAAACAGACAAATCATGCTATATGTACAATGTGACAATGTTGGTTGATAATATTCTATTTGATATTATCATATCCATCTATTTTAAAAAGCAGTTTTCTACATTACAGACTTGGATTTTGATTAGGATTATGCTACTTGTACATAAAAATGGTACATAAGGGATTACATAAATGATGTGGAGGGAAACGATTGAATAAAAAAGTTAATTGTATTTTAAACTAACAAATGGTAGAGTGTCATGTGGTATTATGTAATCTCTTATGTGAAGCTTTATGTACATGTAGCAATATCCTTTTGACAATACATGATTGTCAACCAATGTTGTCAGCCATGTTTGTACACTTAACTTTATTGGAAATAGATTTGCTAACATTCTAGAGGGTTTTATGCATCTTAACTATATCGCATATCAAACGCTACATGCTACTCTTTTTTTACAGTAGTGTGTGAAAATCCAAGTTTATCGTCGACAAAATTAGACAATTTGCCTCGCCAGATAACATAGTAGAATGACAATCATCAGAGATTTCATCCATTTTTCCCTATTTATTAAAAGTGGCAGGTTGAACACTTTTGTCCAGCAACCTGTTATTTTGTGTGCAGTCCATACAAGAATGCTACCATTTGATGACATATTTGAAGTCAAAACAACTACTAGCAAGAACACATTTCATAAAATTTCAGAGAGTAGCTAATATTAGTCTACTGGTATTTGAAAATTTGGTCAAAACTAGATTTCAATGTTGCAAATACTGCATGCCATCCGGCCTGCGTGGGATGTGCGTTATCCCAGAAGAACGCGGATTTTGGATCATTGCACACGGTATACATTTTAGTTCCTTCGTCGTCTACGCTTCCACAGAGATAGCCATTGCTCTTGCCCATACAACACGGCTTCAATGGAGTCTCAAATTTCAAATTTCCTGCTCAACAAAGTGATCTAAGATAAATGAAGATTCAAAAAGGAAGAAAAATACTTCAAAATAAAGAAGAAACACGATTCACCAATAAGAAGAAGGTCATGAGTGTTAAAAGAAATTGTTCAAAAATAATTTTGTTGGAACAGAACTCTAATATTTAATGATTGAACAAATATTAATGCAATATTACTTTATTCGTGAAAGGAAATGTGTGACGCAAACAAAGTAGAGGACAACAAGGATCACCTAAATAATCTCGTTTGTGCTGGATTACACTAGTGAAAGAGCTGTAGAGATCAACAATGAAAATTTCAGAATTTCGGGTTTCATTGTTCAGCTTTGCCACAGCCTGCTGTAATAGGAGATTGTGATAATTCACAGCTATGTTTTCAGTTTCATTGCATTGTTGGAACGACGACATTTTTGTGTTTCGTGGAAGACACCCCAATGGTTGCAAAGATGTCACAACTATTTTTCTTGCTCCCATTCCGCGGACTCTTTTTAAATTCACCACGAGTTGATCGATCACTTTAGACATGAAACTCGTCAAACCCTATAAACACGAGATTTCAAGAAAACCATAACAATAAATGTTAGATCGAGCCATGAATTGTCAAGATCTCAGCCAGATTGGTAATTTTACTCCATAAGTATTAAATCTTAAGCGGCTACAAACTGAAAGGAACAGCTTTTACCTTATTCTACTAGTATTATTACATGGATAATATCGTGAAAGAAATTCTTTAAGATTTGAAAATCAACTTCGAGGAACAGTAAAATTTCATGACTGAAAAATAGATAAATGATTCCTAAAGAAAATTTACAAATTCCAATATTGGCAAAAACCCAGTACTTTAAATATATCATTTTAAAATGTTAATATATGACAATATTCGAGCATTGGAGCGACCTATGAAGATAAATTCGTGAAGTTGCATCATCATGATATCGTATTATATGGTTGTTATTCGTAATAAATACGTGTACTAAACGTTTAATTTCAGGAAGAAGACATTCGTAATAAATACGTGCAGTTTTGCTTACAGAAAAGAGAAATTCATCAATGTTTGCCTCCAGGGACTAAAAATAACTCACTGTAGCACAATAATATTACCTGGAAAGCGCCACCATTTGCTAAATATGCAGAATAATCATTTCCAGCTAGACTCACAAGAACTGCAGAAGATTGTAAATCCCATTTGGTGTAGACTGAATCATTGATGAGTTTCTCAAAAAAATCCATTTGCGTGCTCATGTTTGGTAACAAATCTCCAAAAGTATTGAACACACCACTCCCACCATAGGCAAAGTTCATCCCATAATACCATTTTTGCTTTTGCAAATTCCTCCATTTGTAGGCTACTGGAGACTTCAGTCCCAAGAATGTCGCTGTTCGTGGCATTCATAATAAGCCAGCCAAAAGAATGAACTTTTTAAAGATTATTGATGTGCAAATTAAGGTCCTATACATCCACATTGGTGAAAGAAATGTAGATAATTAGAGTGAAAATAGAGGAATTTTGGAATCATGCAGGTGGGGAAAGTGGTATTGGACCATGAAAAGGCAAAGCACTCAATTTTCTTTCCTTACAAGTAGGATTTGAACTTCCAACCACTCAGTTAACCTTCGACAGCCAGAATAATTGTTGGAGGTGTACAAACAAAAGTCCTTCGACTAGATATGAGATACTCTGTTTTTAAGGAGGACAGGTTACTCTGGGTTCAGTTTTTGGGATTCAACCCCCATCCCTACAAAAGTTGTGGTCTACAAGGACAGATCCTTCGAAAAACATTGCCCAAAAGAGATTTATCCCTAATACTGTAGAGTTTAAAATGTATTGAACAAATGATTATTACAACTACAATGCGGAAATATAAACTCTCAAAGTGTAAAATCAAACCAAAGTGACCCAAAGCTTCTTTAACACCACTAATGGAGTGTCAAATGACGTTGAGCTCAGATTTTTGCCACACTAAATCATGCACCATCATTCATGAGAATGACAATTGATATACAGAGAAATAAATCCTCTAGAAGCCACCAAGAATTTCGCCGGATATATGAACTTCTCCCACTTGGTTACCTCTCCATGCTTTCTCTCTTTTGTTATGCCAAGTTCAAATGAAAAGGTGAAAAAGTCTTGTAATTATGGAGCCAAACAGCCATTTGAATTCAAATATTGTACTATGAAAGAGACATGATTAGTATGGGTAATTGACCACAAGATCCATAATGCACATCAATTAGCATAATCCTTTCAAAGTGCTCAAAACAAATACTCATGTGTCAAGTGGATTTAAGTGATCCACCTCACAAATACAAACTAGTGTACAACCCAACTTCGCTGCTATGATAAAAATATAATTCTATTTCCATCCCTGATGATGAAGAAGTAGACATGTAATTTGCAAAGATGAAGTTCAAAAAATTGAAACAGAGCACAAAGAACTGATATTTTCAGCTTAGAATTATTAGTCATTAATATATACACAACAGACATTCTTGATAAGATTGCCATCTCGCTTCGCAGTATCTCACACATGGCACACACAAATTACCACGCTTGTTTAAATAAAAGGATGCCATGTCCATGCTCAATAATGGAAATTCTTCCACGCACAAACGCAGAAAGTGCACTAAGGCACTATTGCACCAGCTCACCAAAAACATAAAGCTGACTCGTGTATTCAAGCCCAAAAAAAAAAGAGAGCAAAAGATAAAGTGCACGCAATGATGAGACAATATAATTATTATATAGCCATATGCAAAAAAAAAAAATAAAATCAAAAGATAGAAAAAGGCAGAAGGTGGGGTGTAACTGCGTACCAAGGTAATCAGTGAGAATACGGCCATCGGAGAAACGGCCGGCAGGCTTCCCGGGAAAAGTACTGCCATAAGGTTCTTTCCAAGAATTTGCTAAAGACTTTTTTACATTCCCTGTATCAGCATATGAGTCCCCAAATACAAATAGCTTTCTGGGTCGAAAGCTATATCGTTGATGATTTTCGTGGAGGTCAAGCTGGTGGTGAGGAGATGAACCTTGGACAACTAAATATTGTGCAAACATGTTAGTATATATAAAACTACATGACTGTACATTAGCAAAAGTTTTTTAATCTAATTCTGAAAAGAGTGATTTGAATGCTGACATTAAAATTTTCTTTTTATGTACCTGTGATGAGGAGAAGGCAGTGGAAGAAGAGAATCAAGAATTCCATTGAAGAGATTGTTTAATTGGATGTTTAGAGAGATATTTGTATGGCGTGTAGAGCTTTGACAGAGTATATGTTTATAAAGGCTTTATCTTTAGTATGGCCTCTATTTTTTGTAGAAGAATTTTTTGAAGATATATTAAATTATTTAAACAAATTCAATAACAGTTTATTAGTATCAAAATTAACTTTTAATTTTTCAAAAGTCATAATAAACGAGTTAAAAGTGGCACAATCATGAGAAATTAAGTTCGGTAGGGTTAAAATTAAGATTTTAATTTTAATTTAAATCAATAATTAATTTTAACAATATATTTCACGAGACTCGCAATTTATCAACCACATATTTTATCAACTTTAATCAAAATCTATTAAAAATATAATTTTAATCTATATATTCAATCATCAAGGATAAGGTTTTTAGGCTAGGATTTACTAGTTAAGAGTTTAGTTGCCAATTGTAATAAAATGGTTGGCAAGATTGCTATAATTAATGTTAAATGGGGACTGTTAGTCTCCCTAATGAGGACAAGTGCAAGGGGGACGTGGAGATGCGGGATGAAAAGTGGCTGCTTTAGTGTGTACTGAGAGAGTAGAAAAGGTTTCATTTAGGAAAATTAGCAAGTAACGTTTCCACTTTTCATTGTTATTATGAAAAATGTCCATATATTTTATTTTTTTGATATTTTCATCATTGTTTTCACATTTCATTGCGTAAAAGATTATTTTCACCTATTTTCTCAATTAAAAATTATGAAATGACGAATATACCATTCTCTTTAAATAAAATAAAAGGAAAAAGAATTAATTACAATTACTGTCCTAATTTTTTTAAAAATGTAAATAAGTCACAAATAAATTATAAAATGGGTAACTGTACATAATGTCTATATATTTTATCGTTATTGTGAAAAATGTTCATACCTTTCATTTTGTTGACATTTTCACCCTTAATTACACATTTGATTTTGTAAACCATCATTTTCATCCATTTTTATCCAATTTTTCAAAAAGAATTGTAAAATAATGAATATACCATCTTATTTAAATAATTTTTTTTTAATTTCTAATTCTTTGATAATTTATTTGGGACTCGTTTGCACTTTTTAATTTTTAAATAAATTTAATGGGGACTCGTTTACACTTTTTTAAAAAATTAAATTTTTTAATAATTTGTTGGGAACTTGTTTTCATTTTTTAAAAAAATTTGGGATTATGGTTACAATTAATTCTTTATATTTTTATTTAAATCGGATGATATATTCGTCATTTCATAGTTTTTATTGAGAAATTGAATGAAAATGGAAAGAAATGATAGTTTGCGTAATTAAATTTGTAATTAATGGTGAAAATGTCAAAAAAATAAATAAAAGGTATGGACATTTTTTGCAATAGTAGTGAACGGTATGGACATTATATGTTAATTACCCTTTTAATAATTTATTTATGACTCATTTGTGCTTTTCAAAAAAAAATTGGGATTATGATTGCAATTAGCTTTTTCTTTTGTTTTATTTAAAGAGAAGGGTATATTTGTCATTTTACAATTTTTAATTGAGAAAATGGATGAAAAATGACCTTTGCGTAATGAAAAGTGGAAATTGTGAAAATGACAAAAATGAAAGATAATGACGTTTTCCATAATAACAGTGAAAGGCGGAAACATTATGTGCTAGTTACTCTATCATTTAATAAGCATTTAGAATTTAGTTCCTATTATTTAGAGGCACATTGTCAAGAGATAGTTTAAAATTATCACAAATAATTCAGTTGGGTGATATTGTTAGAATGTCGAATAAATATTATTACATCGAAAATCAAAATTTTCTTTAAATTAAAATTTTAATATCGTTGCTAGATATTCAAATTTATATTATAATCAAGAAATAAAGAATTGAAAGTTATCCAAATTTGATAATTAATTCTTAAAATGAATTTGAATTAAGCACCTTAAACGTTTTAGATCACGAATTTTCAACTTTTGACTTCAAAAATCTTGCACTTCAAACCTCCAAGCCTTCTACGACATTCTTTAAAGTTAAGTATACCAATGTGTTGGCACCTTCTTTAATTAAATCGAAAAGTTCTAGACTAAACTTGCCTCTCTAATGAGGACAAGTGCAAGGGGGGCGTAGAGATGTGGGATGAAAAGTGGTTGCTTAAGTGTGTATTGAGAGAGTAGAAAAAGTTTCATTTAGATTAATCAGAACATAATGTCCTCACATTTCATTGTTATTGTGAAAAATGTCCATACATTTCATTTTTTGATAGTTTTACTATTGTTTTCACATTTCATTGCGCAAAATGTCATTTTCACCTATGTTCTCAATTAAAAATTATGAAATGACGAATATACCCTTCTCTTTAAATAAAATAAAAATAAAAAGAAAAAAATTAATCTCAATCACAGTTCCAATATTTTTTAAAAAACCCAAATAAGTTACAAATAAATTATTAAATGGGTAATTAGCACATAATGTCCCTATCTTTCACTATTATAACGAAAAAAATCGATACCTTTCATTTTCTTAACATTTTCACCCTTAATTACACATTTGATTATGTAAGCCATTATTTTAATCTATTTTCATCCAATTTTTTTAAAAAGAATTGTGAAATAATGAATATATCTTCTTATTTAAATAAAAAAAAAATATTTTTTAATTTCTAATTCTTTAATAATTTATTTGGGACTCGTTTGCACTTTAATTTTTTTAATTTTTAAATAAATTTAATGGAGATTTGTTTGCACTTTTAAAAAAATAAATTTTTTTAATAATTTATTGGGGACTTGTTTTCACTTTTTTTAAAATACACAATTAAATGTTTAATTAATGGTGAAAATGTCAAAAAATAAATAAAATGTATAAACATTTTTTGCAATAATAGTAAAATGTATGGACATTATATGCTAAATGTTAAATGGGGACTGTTAGTCTCTCTAATGAGGACAGGTGCGAGGGGGAGGGAGGGGGGGATGCGGGATGAAAGTGGTTGCTTTAGTGTGTACTGAGAGAGTAGAAAAAGTTTCATTTAGGTTGATTAGTACATAATGTCCTCACCAATTCATTGTTATAATGAAAAATGCCTATACCTTTCATTTTTTGACCCTTTCACCATTGTTCTCACATTTCATTGTGCAAAAAATTCTTTTCACCTATTTTCTATGACATTCTTTAAAGTTAAGAGTATACCAATGTGTTGGCACATTCTTTTAATTAAATCGAAAAATGATTTTTAGACTAAACTTGTTCACATCGTCTATATTTAAAGGGAAAATTGTAGTTACGGTACCAAATATTTCATCTTTATGCAGACTTTGTCCAAACCTTTCATTTGTGTCACTAGAGATACCAAACCTTAAAAAAAAATCTCAGCTCCACTCCAAATTGATGGAAATTGTTACTTTTTCTGTTAGTTGATCAAATATCAAAGGTCTGACAAATGTTGATTAATTTTAAAGGGTAAAAGGGTAATTTTACATTTTTTCCATATAAAAAAATAAAAATAAAATAATTAAATCAAAAACAAAAAACCCAATTATCGTTCCCCCCAAAAAATGTCGGCACCACCACTCCGATCACAACCTCGGCGCCACCTCACCCATCACCACCACCACGCAACGTTGCCTTTACATAGACATACACAAAATCGGAGCTTTTAGAGCTTCGTTAATGCTTGGCTGTCGAGCTTGAACAGATCTAAAACCTACGTGATTAAATTGACTCTGGTGGCATTCAACATTACCAGTAGCAATAACAATCCTGGGCCACAAGGCAAGATGAAGAAATTATTAGTTAACAAACGGCATGGAGCCCCGGTTGGATCCAATAAGGATCTAAAGAAACCCTGCAATGGATTTCTTGATAATGGAAATTAAGAAGTTGTGAGTTCAATTGATTGTGAGGGTATGTTGAAAGAATGCGGCAGATTTTGACGAAATTGATGAAGCACAAGAACGGGTGGATATTCAACAAGCCTGTTGATGCGGCTGCTTTGGGGCTTCATGATTATCATCAAATTGTGAAGCAGCCGATGGATCTGGATACAGTGAAGTCGAATATGGCAATAATGAGGTGTCTTTACTTTGCGTGGTGGTGGTGATGGGTGAGGTGGTGGAGAGTGTAGTAGCATGGCTCTTGAGGAA